TGATTCCAAACCAACCAAGAGGAGGCATACGAACCACACATATCTTCCCGGTTGTGGCCCTGGTCACTGGCTCGATTAGGTATCAAGGTGTATCCAGGAGAAACAGATTACTGTAGATCGACAGAGTGATGTATTCTCCGTAACAACAGACATCGTATATCTGCAAGTGCTTGCACAAACGAATATCAGTTGCACGATGGCCGAGTTTTGTATTAGAACAATGGCACTATCCAAACACACAGTAACAGAGCAACAGAGTAAAGTAAAGTAAAGTGTGCAAATAAGGTTGGTGAGGTAAACCGGAAACGGTTAAGGGCTAGGTTGCTGCCCAATCATGATACGAACTTGTTGCTCGTACACTTAGCCCAGTGACTCGATAAAAAGAAAATCGCGCACAAGAAGAAGTATGTTAGGTAATGGCAAATTTTACCGTGTCACGAAAGCAAGTTAAAGTTGCGCATTTTTTTAATTTTCCATGCGATTCCAGGCCCAAGAACAAGGGGAGAGTGTGACGAACGAATAAATTGAGCACCTACAGAATTAGTAAGCTCTTTTATACTTGCATTTGATTGATCTGAGGAAAGAGTTTGTGACGAACTTAAGGGTTCCGGAGAAAACCATGGGGATGGAAAAAAAGAAGACGGTGATAGAAGGATTTGTATGCATACACTATGAAATAATTGGTTGGTGATCTAAACGGCTAAAGCACTGTTGACTAAGATCTCTCAAGTGGTTGAATGATACTGAAAGCATCTATTTGTCACATACATTTTTTTGCCTTCAACTGAAGGATAGCAAATCGAAACGCGAAACCAGCACGCATTTTTGAACGGTCTTAATACGGACAAAAGAATCACTGCATGCTTGTTATCAATTATCACGCCATTTTGTCGCATATAAAAATACATCAAGTAGGGAATCACCGAAACCCTGAGTGAGAACCCAGACAAAATAAAAAATAAAACCATGGTTTTAGTCTGCTGAGCATACAACCGTGCAGTTAATTCTC